AAGACTTTTATGCATCTAAATAACATACAAAATTTGGTTATGTATAACAAAAATGTCTTTGAAGAAGATCCAATTAGGGTAATTTTCACTATGAAATTAAATGATCATAAACTGACATTCCAATAAAAAAGAAATTTAAGATCTGAATACTTTAAACATAAAATGTAGCTATTTTTAAACAAATGATAATCTCTAAATTCAAATATATACTATACAATAACAAGAGAAAACTGACCATCTGATCCTTAAGCTTAATTATTCTAAAAAATACAAACTAGTCTTGTTCAATTTGTTCATAGAAAGGCCTTCTCTCTTCTTCCTTGTATTCTCTCTATTGCTCTAGTCCCCAACAAAATGCCTATACTATGGCTTAAATATGTCTCTCTAAAGTTCATATATTAAAAACTTAATCTCCAATGTAATAGTGTCAAGAGGTGAGACCTTTAAGAACAGATTAGATCATGAAAGCTCATTACCATTGCTGACAAAAGAATGAGTTTGGCTCCCCTCCTTCTTTTGCATATATAAGCTCTCTTGGTTCTTTTTCTTCCTACCATGGAATGATGTAACAAAAAGGCTCCTGCCTCATCAGGGCCCCCTCAACCGTGGGCTTCACAGCCTCCAGAAACATTAGCCAAATAAGTTTATGTTCATTATAAACTATCCCATCCATGGCATTCTGTTAAGGTCGTGTAGAACAAACTAAGCCAGTTTAGATGTTGAATGTCCTCTGAAGGTCCAAGTGCTGAAGGTGTAGTCTGCAGGATGGTGTTACTGGGAGGTGGTGGGGCCTGTGGGAAGTCCTTTGGTCATCTGGGTTGTGGAATTGTAAGGCCCCATCTCTTCCTCTTTCTGTTTGCTTTCTGGCCCATGCTATAAGCAGCTTTGCTCTGCCACACATTCTCACCAACTCTTAGAAATAAAAGTTGAGCTGTTTTTGTGAAAAGGTGGGATTTAAATGAATAGAGAATGGTGACAGACATTAAATATTATCTATATCATGCTGTGTTTTTAATATACACCACTCTTATTGAGCCTAATGAAAGAATTATTAATATACAAATGTGGTGGGGGGAAATGAGTTTTAAAAATTTCCTAGAGAAAGAAAATTCCACTCCATTTCCTCATATAAATGTTTTATTATCAATATCATAAAATATCTTCACAAGTCATGATTGCTAATTCATACACTATTACTCTTCCTTCAGCTAAAAACAAACATTGTCACGAAAATAAGAAGAAATAGTGGTGAAATATTTTGAGAGTTCTAAGGGCTTAAAATAAAGTTTAAAAACTACAGAATTTTTTAATAATAGAAGCATTGAGAGATAGGTGAGAAAGGATCTTGTACAACAAAGAAATCAATTCAGTGATGTGATTGGAACTTTTTTTTTTAAACCAAAATGGAGATGAGCTATGGGAAATGGAAACATCAAGATCCTTATGGAAAGGTAAGATCCATTTAGTACTCTATCAGCGCTCATTCTTACCATACTGAACAAGTTCACATTGACGTTCATGTTCTAAGGCAGATATTTAATGAGTTTAGAGAATGTTGGGTAAAAGATTGGATATGCCATAAACAAGGTTACTTTAGAAAGGAGAGCAAAAAATTCAAAGAATGTGAGTGAAAAAGAAAATTTGGAAAGCAGTCATATTAAGTCATTTGTTACCATTTACTGCTAGAGTATGCCTTTCCAAGACTCAGTTTACATGTGTATATTTCTTGTTATGTTATAAAAAGTGGTAGGGAGGGCATTCAGATTTAGCTCAATGGCAGACTGTTTGCCTAGACTGCACAAGGTCTTGGGTTCCACCCAAGCACCAAAACAAAACAAAACAAAAATGTAGCTGTGATTTGTAAGCAGGCTGCTGATAAAGTCACTACACAAGCTCAAAAGGGGAAAAAGACCTCCCAAAGTGTTCCAAACACTGCAGGATAGGCTGGAATCTCAGAAATGCTAAATGTGACTTGGCAGGGTACATCTGTGAACAAGAAGAGTTTGGGGTAACTTAGAACTTTTATTTAAAATTGGTTGAGTAGGAGAATAGAATACATGTGTGGAACAGCAATTTTCAAGCTGGTCAACAACTGTTGAAGATACACTGATTTCAAATTTTTGTGTATGTTATGAAACCATTAGGAATAATTATATTTAATAACAAGAAAAGTAGCAATTTTATATACTTCGAGAGTAACCACACACATGTACTTTTATGATTTCCCCTTTTGATATTAGCTTTTTATAATCAGCTTCTTAAATTTCTAGCTATTATTATGTAGATATTATATTTCTTCACAATCCAAATTCCTTACAATGATCTGAAGGGTTCAATACAATCTAAAATCTGCCTTCCTCTTTAATCCCATGTCCTAGCATTCTCCCTTTTGTGAAAGGAAAAAAATCCCCCTGTGTGAACTTCTCCCCAGGACAGGCTTCATGGACAGTGCCATTGTAGTTGCAAAGGGTCCATGCTCAGAAGAGCCCCACGTTTGGCTTAATGTTCCATTGTTACCATCTTAATATTCTTAATACTTTTTGAACAGGGAAGGCAGCATTTCCATTTTGCAACAGGGACCTCAAATCACATACCACCCAGCACTGTCTACTACCCTCCACTTGCGGGACAGGTTCCACTTTCATCCTATACCCTGGTAGCCAATCTCTTTCCCACCTCTAGACCACTGTGTATGCTGCCTTTCCTTCTGAAGAGCATTGCCTCCCACTCCTAACTGAAGGCGGATTCTCTCACCTTCAGTCTCAGCTCAGAGGTCAAGTTCTCAGGCAGATCTCACCTGATTTCTTTTCCTAAAGTGCCTCCTCTAGTCACCATAGTTCATTATCCATTTTTCAAAAGGCACTCACTACATCTATAATCACATTTCTTTGTTTCCTTGGTCACTGTCATACATTCTCTCCTCTAAATGGAAAGTAGCAGGAGTGTCAGTACTCCTGTCTTTGGTAGTACACAGACACATTATCAGAGTTGACACTAGTGACAAATATGCTGCTTGACAAAGTGAAGTTGGCCTTCTCTGAGCCCTCTCTGCGACTGAAGCCTTGGCCTATAAAAAGTGTAGATTCTCAGCACAAATTATTTCATCCAGCCCTGCCTAATCCCACTTTCCTTCAAGAGGCTTTGACACACATCATTTCAGACAGCTCAGGGCTATATTCTTAGGATGACCCCATTTCCCCCTTAACCTGCCTGCTTGAAAAATACCTCTAAGCTGCCAAAATAATTTACTGTTTGTTACAGCCAAAAGCTGAAGACAGGGCCAGACCAAAACTTTTACTAAGAGGTATTATTATTTTGAATCCTTCCCCTGTCCCTTTGAAATGCGTATGTAATGCCTACAACTCAGAATTATCTTTTGTAAGGACCTGAAAGGATAGAGCCTTGGTCTGGTCTCTAGGTCTCTATAGAAAAACAGAATCCTAACTCCTTCAATTTCTAATTAACAGATCCAGCTGGCCTCAGGGCATTTACACTACCAACTCTTTGTCACTTTTCACTTCCCTGACAGGCCTAGGTCCCTCTCACCCTTGTACAAATTGAAGAGTAAACATACATGCATATATGAATAAAATCAGTATTTTCTTGATTTAAATCTGTGCTTACCACATTAATTAGTGTCTGGCATTATTTTCGACAATAGTGCCTAACACAGGATAAATGCTCAACATCAATTAAGTGAATAATTAGTAACAGCAAATATGATGCTTCACAAATTTTCTCAAGAGGATTTTGTTTCCCTGGTTAAAGTCAGGCATCAAGGGTATTTCATCCATTATAATTCAGCAACATTTTCTAGACATTTCTCTTTACACTGAGTCCCTATTTATTTGAGATAAGATACCACGAATGGGAGAATTATATGTGTGTATTTTCTAAATTGCTGCCTCTCTGTAGATTTATGATCCAAAAAGTAACTTAATTCCCTAAACTAAAGAAAATATACAACTCTATGAATAAATTTTGGCAGAAACTAGAAGGAAGCTAAAGAATAGCTATTGACAGAAAATGAGGGTAATTTCAGAAAAATAGCTTTAGATTAAAGGAAGAACAATAGCCACTCTCTGATGCTGTGAGGCAATGGTAAAATTTAACACATTAACAAAACGTGGTAACAATGTAAGGTGGCATAGACCTCTTTTGGAAAGTAATTTGGCATTACGTATTTTAGCCATAAAAATATTCATATTAATTCACTCAGACCATCTACTTCTAGAATTTTATTCAGTGGAAATGTACCTTAGGTAATATGTGGAAAGTGCTATCTTCACAAAAGTATTTGTGTTGTTTATCATACCAGGAAATAGAAAATAAACCGGAGAAACAAATTTAAGGGACTGGTTAGGTAAATTATAGTAATTCACTACAGTAAATATTTTGTGACAGGAAAAATTATACTGTATGACAAGATGGGGGGACAGGTACCGTACAGGTTTTTGTCAAGTGAAAAAATCAGGATCAAAAATACATATACAGAAAAATAAAGGCCTAACAAAATCAGAGCAGGAAAAACATTAGAGGGGAGCTTTCCCACACTCTTGTTAATATAATATTTAACCTTGAAAGCATATTTTAAATACATCAAAAAGAAACATGATTTTTTATCACAGTCTCATTTTCAATGTAGGACAGTCAATGAGTTCTTACTAAGATTGAATTTTTTGGAAATACTGGGATTTGAACTCAGGGCCTCATGCTTGCCAGGCTGGCACTCTACCACTTGAGCCATTCCATCACCCCTCAATGTGAGTTCTTAAAAGAGTTTGCTTCTGAAAAAAAGTTAACTTTGAAATTTAAATACATATTTAAAAACTTAACAAATTAGTTTTTTTGAGAAAGATATAATTTTTCTCAATTAATTCAACATAGGTGAAAAAAAAAGTTCAAAAAAAGTTAAGTGTAAAGTGAATAAAATTTTAGACACTAGTTAATTCAAAAGCAATGTATTAAAAAACAAAACAAGGCAATGGTTCAGTACTCACAGGTATACAATATTCCACCATCGGGTAATGTAATTTGTGACCTTTTGCTGTTCGACCGGAAAAAAAGCAACTTTGGCAGACATCGTAGTTAAAATGCTTTAGGCTTCTATATCTAGAGAGAAGAAAAGAAAATTCATTGGACTCCAAATCAACCATGTGTAGAAAGGATTTTCACTCATTCAGATTACTAAGGAAATAAAAGGTACATTTTATTATGGAATTTGCTTAATATCTCAGCTTCAAATTAGGACAAAGAGAAAACCATCTCTCCAGCCAGGGGGAAAAAAGTAAATTTTTGGAGTTTATCTCTGACATATGTTTTTATCTGTTTAGACATGATAAGAGGACAAATATCCATACAAGATATTCTGTAATGTCTGAATAGAAACAGAAAATGATACAGAAGACGAGTTATAATAATTAGCTTGATACATCAAATTCTAAAATACCAATTATATCATCAATAAGAAATGAAACTTAAAATTTCCTCCCGAGGGAACTGTATTTTACACTGAGTATTTTTATATTTACTTTAAACTAATCATTAGGAAAAAATTCAAAAGCAAGGAATACCATGTAACAAAGAGAAAATTAAATGAAACCTTAATCACTATACACTTTTGAAAGGAAGTACTGCTTTTACATTTCTTGTGTGGGAGTAACACTGTATGCTGACTACTCTTTGCAGAAGCAAAACTCTAGATAATACTTTCTATGAGTCTGAGTGGAAAGCATGCCAAATTTTCCATTCAATAGCATAGTTGGAACTAAGAACGTAAATTATATCCATATTTACAGGGAAAAATGAAATGACAGGAGTAACATTGAAATGGAAAAAAATGCAAAGGTTATGTGAAGTTAATATTAGAAACTATTAAGTGCTGAATAGCTTCTAACATGACCTGAACAATCACTTGCAAGTTAATCTGCAGAAAATCAAGGTCTACACTACAGCCAGTTTACTTTATCAAGGAAGCTACCTGCCTTGAAACATTAACCTACGCTAACAACATTTCTTGATCATTAGCATGGCTTGACAATATGATCGACATCATCTCTTCTAAATGGAGCTGTGGTTATTGCTGATACCTGTTTTCCTTTTCTTCACTGGTCAGAAGTTCCTGTATTGTTAGCACATTTTAGCAATGTGCCCTACTAAAACGAACGCTGATTCTCAGTCTCTCTTGTAGTAGTGGTAAGCAGTGCAATGCATGGCAAAGTCACTGGGTAGAGAGGTTCTACTGAGGATTTCAAGGGAATCACACTCAGTTGGGAGGAGGAATACTTCTAGCTCCTTGTTGAAAACGGACCTGACATCCAGAGGAACCATTTGGCTAGCATGAAGTGACCATGAAAATGGAAGACACATGTTGGGAATGACAGAGCATAAAGACAGAACCAGACTTCCTGGTGACCACAGAGCAACAACAGCGGTCTTGCATTGCCTACCTTTACACTATGTTTACGTGACAGGGACTAAACCTCTAATTTATGTAGGCTACTATTAAACAGATGTATGGGATTCTAACTGAAACAATTCCATGCTTAGCAAACATCCTGTAGATCTAAGATTTCATTAAAATTTAATTTGGAAGTAATCAGTGAAAGACTCTAGCAGTATTTACAATAGTTCAGAACACACACACACACACACACACACACACATTTCTGGTAACCCCCATTTCTCCATTTAATGGAAAACTTTAATGATACTCCCAGGCTTAGGGTTAATGTACTAGGCTGACCGTAACTACTAGCATTGTTGGTAATAATGAAAACAGCTTTGAATGCCTTCTCTGTTTGTGACAAGTACTGGCTTAGACACCTTCCACGTACTAACTATTACTTCAAAGAAACACTCAAACTGTAGGAAAAGCAAAGATATTGTAAGAGGTCTACTGCATACTTATCTCAAGAGAAGGCAATGCAAGGTCCAGGCTGACCACAACACTTCATCTTGGGACAAACCCTGCACAAAGACCCTCCACAGTCACATTGTAGGTCACAAACCAATGATTCTGACACACTGAATACATTTAAAAAGTGAACTTTAGCCACACTCCTCATGGGAAAGTGAACAGAAGAGTTGATCTACTCCACAACAACCTTGGCAGAAGTAACAGAATAATCTAATTACTTTTCAGTTGCTTCTTGTAAAGACCTTGGAACATCCACCAAATCCCATCAAGACTATATATTCAGTGGGCAATTATCCTCCTGCATGATGAACATTTCTGTGACTTAACTAAATAAAAATTCATTAAAAAAATTCTCTGGTCTGGACCAAACTAGTATAAATCATAATGATAAGTTCATGTAGTGGTTTTAAGAAGTGGTTAGACATTTTACTGTAGTGGCTAAGAAGGAAGTTAAGAAGGTGAATATGGTGGATGTTCTCTCTATACAAGAATGAATATAGAATTTTTTAACCTGTTGAAACCACCATATAAAGGGGACTAGGGTAGAAAGAAGAAAAATAGAAGGGATGAACCAATTCAGGTTATAATACATATATACATGAAAATGTCACATGGAAGCTCCCTGTATAGCTATGTTAAACAAACAAAAATGTCATTTTTCTTCTCTTACAAAATTGGAGAACAGGAGGGAAACTGGAGAGCAGGAGGGCAAAACAAGTCCTGTCTTGGGCGGTTGGTGCCAGTGGGAGTGGGGAGGAGGTGGGGAAAAGGTGTAGGTAGGTGAATATAGTGCAAATACTGTGTACACATGTATGTAAATGGAAAAATGATACCTGTTGAAACTATTCCAGGAAAGGTGGGAGAGAAGAATGGGGGAGGGGGTGAATTCAAGTATGATATATTTGATATATTGTAAGAACTTCTGTAAATGCCACAGTGTACCCTTACTCAGCACAACAATTTTAAAAAAGAAGGAATGCCACTTTTAGGTAGATAGAACACAACAGGCATCCCACATACTTTGGAGGCAAAGCTCCAGGGAAATAAATGGGGAAGGAAATTACATACCATGCAGACGTCACAAGGAGAAAGAAGTCGGCGTCTTGCCACCCTGGCAGAGCCTCTCACCTGAATCCGACAATGGGACACTCCTTGCAGATGTTGCATTTGGCCTGATGTTTTGCAGTCTCAGCTGCTGCTACTCGATGCAGAACCGGCAGCCACACCATGGACTGTGGCTCCAAACGCATCCAGTCTATGAACTCTTTCACGCTTATCTCTGGCTTGTTGTTATTCTGGTGAAGAAACAAATACATTAAAAGTGAGGATCATTTCTTCATTTAATTTCCAGCAAGTGATTTTGCTTCAGAATCTTTCGGAAATCTGTGCAGAATTCACAGAAAACTTATAAAACTCTTTCCAAATCAGTGAAGTCACAAAAGCTTTAAGATTCTTCTAGGAATTCTGGAATTTAAAAATAGAAAACGCAAATATTGTCATATAGGAAGAAGAAGAAAAAATCCTAATACCTTAAGACTCAGATTTTAAAAATCCCAAATCTAAAGGAAAGTCACACCATTCTAGGAAATCTTATCACGTAAATACTTGAATTTTATAAAATTCGTTCATCTAAGATGGTAAAAACTTGTGAAGCAGACTCACTGATGACCTCACAAAGCTGGAGGCCATCAGAAATGCCAACTGAAAGTTGTTATTGCTGTGTCCTGCTTTAGTCTGTCATGTCCTCACACTGGAGGCATTTTGCTGTGAATACACTTTGCAGGATTTGCAAGTTTATCATTAAATCATAGGAGACTTTTCAGCTTCTCTATTTTTTTTGTTTGTTTGTTTTTGCTTTTGAGACAGGGTCTCATTTTGTAAGTCCATGTTGGCCTCAAACTCTTGATCCTCCTGCCTCAGCCACCCGAGTCCTGGGATTACAGGTGTGTACCAGCACACCTGGCTACTAACTAGGTCCCTCTTTGAGTCCCCATTATGAGTAATTCTTGTATGCATAGAATTAAATTTCACCAACATTCTCCTGCTGTTTTTAAGGTCATTCAGTGAACTAACATATGTGACTATAAATCATATTTGGAAAAATCATTTGGTATTTTTTTATTTCTAAAATAAGAAAAAGGGCCATTATAAAATGTAATAACCCATGACATCGATTCTCCTCAAATATATAGTGTGAGCAATTTTTTTTCTCAGCAGTGATAAATCATTGGGGGTGCCTTGGCAAAACATCTGTAGCTTGTACTTTATGCATATGTATAAAATCAGTGTCATTTATAAAATGTCTTTACGTATAAGAAGCACTAAAAAGAAAGCTAACGTTCTTTTCCCAGGTGAAAATTAGCAACTTAGATTGGTGTAAAACTTTGCATATCAACTCTCCTGCCGTACGTATATTGTCAAAGTAAAGACTGCTATTTTAATATACTTATATTTATAAATATTTGCCTATGAAGACCACCAGGGTATTTTTACTCACGAATTTAGCAAACATTTATTAAAGTAGCTACGATGTTCAAGGTTTTATGCCCAAAGATATGCAATTGATGGAATGTTTATGTCCCTGAAAGATCCATATATCGACACCTGCGCCCCAGGGTGACAGTGTTAGGAGGCAGGGTCTTCGGACAGTGATTAGGTTAGGACGGTGAAGTCCTCATGGATGGAATTAGTATTGTTTTAAAGGTGACCTGACTGAGTTCACTTATTCCTCCCACCATGTGAGGACAAAACAAGTAAGGCCACTTATGAAGTGAGCCCTCACTAGACAAAATCTGCTGCCACCCTCACCTTGGGCTTCCCAGCCTCTAGAGCTAAGCAATACATTTCTGTTGTTTATAAGCACCGTGATTGTGATGTTTTGTTATAGCAGCCAGAGCTAACTAACAAATGACATGACGGTAAAAATATAGATGCATTGCCTGTCTTTGTTGTCTTCATGGAGCTTTGGTGTCTATGGACAAATCAAATAATTAATTATACAATTCAGCGTGAAATCTTAACCATAAGGAGCTTGAGAAGGAAGAGGTTTGAAGTGAGTAGATTAGGGAAATACCCACATCTGAGAAGGTCGGAGAAGGGTGTGCAAAGGATTGAGAGCTAAGCTAACGTCTAAAGACTGAATAGGACAAGAGGGAGAAGCCAGCTTGTGTGTGGAAGGCAGGAAAGGCACTCTAAACACAGGACACGTGTCTGTCCAAGGGCATGAGGCAGAATCTAAGAACTAAACCCATTTAGGTGGAAAGGAGAGAAGCAGGGGAATGAGTGGCAAGAGATGAGGACAGCACAGAGGCAGGGTCAAACACAGCAACTCAATTTTTATTTTGTATTAAAATATGTAAGTGCTTGTGCAGTGTCACATTTCCTTGAGTCAAATATGCCTTACAAAATCAAATACAACTTATGGGGATGGTGCCTGAAGTCCTGTAGACCATTTGACTACAGTCTAAACCCTCTCCCAACACCTACACACCAGTGATCCTCAGGTTTACCTGCTGGAAGCAACTGCGGACACTGGGCTCAATGTTACTGCCTCCGAAAGCTGCTACCTCCCCCAGCTGCCGAGGAATCTGGATGGCGTCGTGCAGTAACAGGCCGAGCTGCCGCTGGTCACACATCTCTGTTGGCCCTGCCACCTCCTTAAAGAGAACTGTAGAAGGGAGAGGCAAGGGTGAACTCCCATCTGCATCAAGTGTTCTTTTACCTAAAGCAGATCTTTGGAAATGTGGAGTAGACTTTGTACACAGAAAAAAATTCAGAGGGACACGAAATCTGAGTAGCTGTCTCTGAGGATCTGAATATTCTGTCGGGAACCAGTTAACCTATGCTTCTTCAAACAATCTCCTATTAAATGTTAATACATAAAAACAGATCAACTAATAAAAACTTCTAAACAGTACATTAAATGCACGTGGTTTGATGTTATGGTCTTAAGAAGGAATTCACTTGGGAAAGAAAATGAGCCAAAACAAAGCCTCCTTCATAACTTATCAAGGGAATAAATGTTCCTTAAATAGTATACCTTTAAATCTTAATGATTTGCTTAGCAACTTTGCATTCACTAGTCAATAGACTATTAAATATATACTTTAGCTTTTAAAAAGTATTCCTATGCTCAAATCTACTTAGATAGGAAATACTAAAAAAAATAAGGAGGTATAGTTTTTCTTTTTAAGGTAGATCTCTCATTCTTTGTTAGCTGTAAAAATTATTTTTCTTTATCTTATATCATGTAACAAGCACATTCATTCAACCTTAAGAGACTTAAAATTTTGCACATCTTTTCTCTTTCTTTGGCTTTTTCATTCATAAAACAAAACTGATCTGTTTTCTGACTTTCTTAAACCAATAAAATTAAACCTCTATTCTGTTCAGCACTGACTTATTTTCTATTCACTATATGCAGTGTTTCCCAATAATAAAGCTGATATACTAAGATAAGCAACTTTGGGTAGGGAGAAACTTCAAATAAAAATAATCCACTGCATTATACAAATCAATACTTTTTGGAAAGAATTTTCGAGTTCTAAAAATTCAAAAGCTCATGCAATCTAAATGCTCTTCAGTGATGTTTTCTAAAAAACTATTCTGAAATAATGTCTGATAAATAAATATCAGATAAGAATGTACCATGCCCTTTTGAAAGGGGACAATACTAGATCTAAGATAGTCAACAGTGAATTTTCAACCAGCTAAACCAAGCTCAGTGACATTGACACAGTCATAATGAAATATGGCTTTAATTATAAACATGCATAGGAGAAGCAAGTTCAATTTAGACAGATTTAATTTTTATTATCATTTGTGAACTTAGATTTGCTTAGAGCACAGCTTGTTTCTTTTCATTATTTAAAAATGAGATTATCATAAACAAAATATGTTTATCCAAGCATCTTCTTATGATGCTTATTTTAAGTCCATTCCTGGCTTATTCAGTAAATCCAGAGTTGATGAAAGAAAATAACAATCTTTATAAAGAAGTGCTCATTTTCAGCAGGATTATTGGTTCAGCTTTCCTCTTTTGAGGCAGAAAGCTATGCTGCCATGCCACTAAGGAGAGACTACTCAAAAAACCTAAGGAGAAACATGTCCTTCTATACTGTGACATATTTCTAAATTCTTATAACAGTTCACATTTTCAACATTACAGTCAGAAACAAAAAGCAGAGTCAGGATGAGGGAATGAGTCACCAGAAGAAAGTCTCAATCTCCAAACCAAATTTCCAGAAGTCAAAAGGATGCTTTATAAATCAGCTTTTGGTGAGGCCAGGAAGCCACTCAGCTAGGAGCACAAAGACAAGCGACTGTCAGATAGTACTCCAGGGCTATTCTCAGGAAGGCACAGAGAGAGGGAGATGTCACTGGGGTAAAGACACTGACTTTGAAAATTGCAAAATCAATGTTCAGATGGATACCAATGCCTCTCCCATTGAGTTTGAAGCATAAATTGTCTTGAATATTAATTCTAACAAAGGAAATAATAATGAGGACATGTTCTGATATCACTGGGGAAATCAACAATGGAATGTGAGTTGCTAAAGACCTAAATGTAAAAGGCGAAACATAACCTCATAACATTTCAGAGTTCTAATATCCAAGTAAAGATTTAGATTAAAGATGGCAACCCAAGAGATTTCTTATTTAATTAAGTTCTAGAATGGCATACAGATGGGTTAAATTAAATAGCAGAGATTTTCACGGTAGGGGCATCTGCTTTCCCTGCCCAAATCTGAACATTTAAGGCAGTATTAAGGAAATGCAAGCTTTGTGCTTATATTTCCATTTATTTGGGGGTAAATTCAGCCCTATGATATAACTGTTACTTTCAGAGAACCCTAATTCTTTCATGAGCACATTGAAACCTCAAATCAGAGATGATGAAACACTAATTTTGGAACACTGATGCTTTCATTAACATTTTCCTGTCCCAATCATTATAGAAATAACTTTTTAGCTTTGGAAATTATATCTTTTCGTGATTATGACTGAAGACCATTTAAGTTCTGCATAAAGTGCCACAAAACAAAAGCTTATGTGACTCTTTTTTTCTGCCTGGCTTAGTAGGCTATCAAAGTTCCTCACCTCTGGATCCTACAATCAATCAGCTTTTCTTTTCATTCAAATCTGCATCTGTTTTCATTGACATTCTTGTCAAACTGTGTAAGGAAATCAAGCCATCATGCTCTTGACTTGAAACTGAAAATTAAATAACCTCACAGCAATCCCAGAAAGTAAAACTTTTAAAAATGTATACATGATCCCATAAGACACAAAACTCAGCTAAGTTTACAGGAGCTCTGATGAAATACTTTCATGTGTTTTGTTTTTATTTTGGGAAAATGGGGTCATGTCTATTTGTTTTCTTGGTACTGGGAATGGAACCCAGGACCTTGTGCACACTATGTATGTGCTTTTACCACTGAGCTACAACCTCAGCCTCTCCTCTTACTTTTTGGTGTCTCTTCATTCATGAACTATTCCTCACCCTCTCTTCCAAATGCACAGATTTATCTGTATAGATCGTTTGGGAACAACCATGGTGGCATCAGGTCACTCACACTTAATGGACAAAACTATAAAAGATGCATTGTGGAGCTTAAGGGTTTGAAGACATAGCAGTCATTGCTATCATGTATTCAACAACTGTTATTTATAGGAATTTTTAATATATAATCTCTAATTCCTTCCCAAGCAGTAATTAATAACTTCATTTTTAAGGTAAAGAAATATCTCCAAATTTCAGTTTCCTACACTGTAAAGTGGGAGTAATATTACCCCTTGACTGGAAATACACAAAGGGATCAAGTGACCTGCCCAACAACACTCAGCCACTAAGTGGTGCAGGTTTAAAGGCAGTTCTCGTCCTTGAGCATACACGGTTTCCAAACCAATGTGTCTTCCACCACGTGACATCTAAGAGGACATTGCTGGTTTATTTGGTGACTATACATAAATAAATTAAATTAAAAACATTTATCATCTTTTTTGTCACAACTATAAAATATAATTATTGAGAATTAGCATTTAACTGTATTCATAATGGTTCTGGTCCATCTTAACTTCTTTTATCAGCATTGGACATATACAGAAATAGGGTAAACTTGGGCTTTGGAGTTATAAACATCTCAGATCTAGTTCTAGCCCCATGATTTAGTGGCATTGCAGCTTGTGACTAGACTCTCAACTTATTTCAGAGTCAATTTTCTCAGGTGGAAAAATGGAAATCAAAATAACTACAATATGGGAAAATTATTCTAAAAATTAAATGACATAAAAATTTGTAAGTTCTCACTCCATCAAGACACCTGGACTTGTGGGCCCATAATCTGCTTTTCATTTCACACAAATCTCAATCTCTCTGCATTGCCACTTTTTGTCCAACATGGTAAATGTCATATTAGGAATTTAAGAAGTGGGATTATTGTCACTTCCTCAATCAATTGTTATAAGTATTATTATTATTAGAAACACTGTTGGTATAGGAAAGGTCTTACATACATCTGTACTTTTCTTCTAAGAGACCTTTGGAGAGAGACATCAATCCAATCTTCAGACTCTGCACTCTAATTTTTCCAGACCGACCCCTGAAATTATAAGAATGTCAATGTGTTAGATGCATACAGTACGTTAATTATTCCCAAATATCTATTTTCTTGAGAGTAAACCATTAAAAATAATTGTCTTAAAGATGCAACTTTTCTATTCACTTTTAACAATTAATGTTAAACCTGTACCATAACTTCATGACATAATTTTAACAATGTGTGTGACCAAGTCTGGAGAAATACACAGCTTGAAGTCACTTTATATGTAACACATAACCTCAGAAGAACAGATTAAAGCAAAGTGAGAACAATAATTACACAGATGAAAAGATTTCATTTTAATAAGTACTATGAAGAAAATTTGTTCATAATTATAAATACAAGAATCAAAATAGACAGCTAAACCCATATACAATATTCATGTAACTTAGCACAAGAAAGGGCTACTGATAAAGCTAAAAACAAAGATAAGAAAACTGAGTAGAAAACTAAGAATATAGTGAGGACTTAGCATTTGCTGAATACTTAAAACCTTATTGTCTTCATTTACTTTGATCTCTGTCAATGCAGTCTGTCAATTACTACAATTTTAATAGTCAATGGTCTGAAACAGACAGATGTGAAATCTGTATTTGGAGAAGTACCAAATTATCATTAAATACAGAATGCATTAATTAATCAACACTAGGAAGTAGTTCCCCAGTATGCCAACAAGGCATCATTTCAATTTCATTCTTCAGCTGACTAGAAGAAACATTTTATCTTTAACAGCAGAGTTTTCATTAGCTCAAGATTTATTAAAGAATCAGTAAGTTGTTCACCACATTGGTTGTGATATTATATCCTGGAGATGGGAAAAAAACCACAAAAATTAATAAGATATATTTTCAATAGATTCAATGAACACACAGTTCATAAAAAGGTTTATTGCTCTTATTTCAGCTTCAGGATCAGTCTTCAATGTAGATTTTCACAGAATACATTTTCAATACTCAAGTACAGCATAGCTAAAACCTATAATCAAATGTTTACATAATTACATGAGTACATAAGATTTAGTAATTCATACTATTTTTAAAAGTGAATATTTAACTGTAATCTGAAGTAGTCTTATTGTCAAGTCATAGATCAGTCCTGATTTTATTGGTATTTTTCATAGTAGATCTAGTTGATATTTTTCCATTCTCCAATTATGCATACTTACCTAAGTTTCTGCATACACATGACATAACAAATATAAATTTTTTTTTAAAAAGGAAGACATACTTAGAGATTAGTGAAATGTGTTTTCAATATAGTTCCTCAACTATTTTGTTCAGAATTTATAATTATATTAAATCATCCCCAGTGCCAAGCACGGTGGTGCATACTTGTAATCCAAGTGACTCAAGAGGTATAAGTGAAAGAATCATATTCAAGGCCAGTCCTGGCAAAGTTAGCAAGGCCTTATCTTAAAAACAAGCCAGGTACAGTAATAAATGCCTGTAATCCCAGCTACATGGGAAGTGGAGGTAGGAGGATCTCAGTCCTATACCAGGCCAGGCAAAAGGACAAGACCCTATAAAAAACAAATTAAAGCAAAAAGAGCTGAGGGCATGGTTCAAGTGGTAGATTGCTTGCTAGAAAGCACAAAGATCTGAGTTCAACCCCACAACCACCAAAAAAAAAAAAAAAAAAAGCTATACAAAAAATTATTGACTCCTTTCCATGTATATGTACAATATTCAGAATTGGCTTATGCAATAATTAACACTTATATGCTAAAATGAAACTAAACCTTATTATAGAAATTCTAAATTAAAAATCATTCCAGCTTCTCACAATTAAAGAAATAAAAGTTTTGAATTAACCCTAAAGTAAGCCATGCTGCAAACTGTGCTTCTACTTAATATTTTTAGGAATTTCCTAATTATCACATGAAACAAACAATGTCTATTCTCTTCCTTTCAAAAATCAGAAGGTTTTTATCCTCTGAACACAGACAACAGACTTCAGAAAATAACAAAAGGCTATTGAATGGACTGAGAGACTAGTACATGAATGTGTGTAAGCACAAAGCGATCTTCAGGGAAAAAATGATCCTGGGAGATGCCTCAGTGCGTGACCTCCAGGCTATCATAACAACACAAGAAGGAAACATCATCAGGAGTACAGTGGAAATTGTCAATCATCCATTCAGCACCATCAGCAGTTATAAAGGCTTACTGTGATCCCAGCATTGTTTTATGTACTGCAGAGATAAGTAAATTAGCAGACATGAATCCTACCCATGATAAGCTCACAAACTGTCCAGGGAGGTAAGACATGGAAATAACTAGAGAAAAATATGAAACCAATCTTTCCATATGGAAAAGAAGAACCAAGTGCACAATCAATGTGGCTGACAAGTAATAGTCTCACAACATCCAATAGAGAAGATAGGTTGAAAATCAGACATGGAAGGCATGATGTGGCTGGACTGTCTCAAGTAGGAGGAAGTAGAGCATCACAGGAAAGCCTGAACAAGGGGACAGAGGCAGGGCGTGAGCACCAGACTCAAGACCATCAGTCTTGAGGACTTGCACCCACGCTAATTGGTTGACCAAACTGTGCAGGTTATGCTGGGACATAGGATAGAGAGTTTTCATACCAAATAAGACATCTGAATTTGAGAGACAATAGGGAATGATAAAATTAAGGAGTGACTGACATAGCACAATATTTAAGCATTAGGTTCTCCTGAGAGTTTTTGTAACTCCTGAAATTGTTTTAACTGGAAAGGTAAGTATCTTTAAAATTAGAGCCATGGAATAGTGGGGAAAAAACGACTTAACTGCAACAAATGAAGCTAATATTCTGTATAGAGAAAAAAATTTAAACCAAGTGTTCCAGACTATTGCTTTAAATCATGAGTTAGACACTTCTGATTTCCATTAAATCTAGAAGGAAGATTGTGAAATTAAGACTTTTTAACCTGAGAAGATGAAGATTGAAGGAGCCTATGAATTCATAAATGGAATCAATTTTATCTTTATAGCTTATAAAGTCCCTTTTAAATGTATTAGTTCACTTTCCCTTCACAATAACCTTTTGTGTGGTAAGCTGAGCAGACATTTTTACCTCAATTTTTAAGGTGAGAAATTGAGATGTCAAAGTTAAGGTTGCTGCCAGGTCACACAGCAACCAGAACTCAAAATGTGAATTCTTGTCATCCACAACAGATGAAAACGGATTTTTTTCTCACAAAATTCTGAATACTAGGTGGAGTTGGGTACATGTGAAAACCCAAGAGTTTACTTAAAATGATTTATAAAGTACCATGTTCCAAGATATGTTAGTATCTAGGAATAACCAAGTTATTAGAAAAAATCTGAATATTAGTTCCATAACTATCATTAATACAACATGGATGGCTGTGGATAAATCTTTTTCTCTCTCTCTGCCGGCTTTTTAATCTGTAATATATAGAGGGCAGAATGGAAGATCCCAAAAGCCTTTCTACTTAGACCTACTATATTTGCATCCCATGGTATTTGAAGAGCTGGTTGAAGCTGAAAATGCCTGTCCTGGTTACATCCTACTACCCAAAATAAGGTAACTGAAAATATGTGATTAATGCTATAGTTTGGATCTGGAAGTCCTTAAGGCCCATGTGTTAGAGGCTTGGTCCCCACTGTGGTGGCACTGGAAGGTGGTGTAAACTTTAATAGTTGGGGCCTAGTTGGAGGCCTGTGGTCTCTGGGGGCATGTCCTTCAGGGGATTGTAGGGCCTGGTCTCTTCCTCTTTTTCTCATTCACTTCCTGGCCATGAGTTGAGCAGTTTTGCTCCACTATGTAATCTCCTGTGGTGTGCTGCCTCACCCAAAGTAATGGGTCAACTAATTATGGACTAAAACCTCTCAAACTGTGATCATGATAAAGCTTTTATCTGTGTAAGTGGATTATCTTAGCTATTTGCTATAGTGATGGAATGCTGACTAGCACAATGAATGAACATCTGATTGAATTAATGAATGGCTGAGTTGAAGATATCATTTCTAAGGTTTACAGATGTCTTAAGAGGATGCAGTGTTTTAATACATTGGAGAGAGTATATAGATCATAGATTCTATCAGATTCTCTCAAAGTACCATGGCATGAAAAGAGTTAATAAGTATTGTTTAGATAAATGAATAAGTCATAGCTAGTAGAGAAACTCAGGAAATCAATCATGGACATTTGAGTTTACCATTGTAAGAGTAATTGTGTTTTTACTTAGCTTAACCCACGATGCTCCTCTCCAAGATAGAAAGCTAGGCTGAACAGGGACCATTCTGACCTAGCAAGGTCTCTGCTACATGTCTTTGGCACGGAGAAGAGATAAGTGCCAAAGACATTCTTTCCCTTAAAAATGGAAAGTGAAAAAATTCAAGATACTGTCTTTGTAAATAAAACAAATTCTAGTATAGCATTTCCGTGTGCTCACATTTGATGGTGGGAAGTGAAACTATACCAACATTTAACTGCCTAGAATAAGAATCAACACTCATACACTGGTAACTTCTGACAAAGTGGGACAGTTCCTTTGGGTTGTACAATGCAAACAGCATCTGTGTGGGTTATGCTCTGAACTGTGTTCCTCTAGCAGTCACATATTTATGTCCTAACTCCCGTTACCTCGGAAGGTGACTGTACTTGGAGACGGTAGTCTTTAAAGATGCAATTACGTTAAAATAAGGTCTTTAGGGTGAGCTGTAATCCAATATGTCTGGTGTCCTTATAGAAAGAAAAGAGAAGCCCATTGACAGCACAGAAGAAAGACCAAGAGTACGTGCAGAGAGAAGACAACCATCTATACTCCAAGGAGAGAAGCCCTGGGGGGTGGTGGAAGGAAAGAAACTCTGCTCTGGTGACTCCCTGATCTCAGCCTTCTAGAACTATAAGGAAATAATCTTCTGTTGCTTAAGCCATGCAGTCTATTATTGCACACAGTGTTAACAGCCTAGAAAAAATAACAGTGTGTCACAGCCATGGGAGATGCAAGGGGAGAGTCATTTAGTCTCTTCTTCAGTTCTTCCTTAAAATGTGACTCAAGATGCTCACTCCACCATACTCCATAAGACCCATGAAGTTCCTAAATAAGTAGTCTATGAAGTTACAGTTCTTCCTGGGATGTAAAT